GTACCACCGCCAGTGATGCCACCGTTGGCGATACCGCCGGTGGCCTACGAGCAGATGTTCCCGGCCATGATGGCCCATTATATGCAGCACATGGCGCAGTTTATGCCCATGTTCCAGCCACCGCCACCACCACAGCCGCAGCCGCGCATCGTTACCTTCAAGATGTTGAAGGATAATGGAGCGGAAGAGTTCCGAGGAGACAATATGGGGGAGCCCCAGATTGCTTTGGATTGGCTTGAGCAGATGGACCGGGTACTCAAGAATTTGAGAGTCCGAGATGCTGATCGCTCGGAGTTGGCGTCACAGATGTTCCGGAAGGGAGCATATGATTGGTGGAAGCGCATTGACCAGGATCCACACACGCCCAAGCCGTGGACCTGGGATCGCTTTGATCGAGCCTTCACGAAGGAGTACGTCCCCAGTCGGTACCGCGAGGAGAGGCGCGATGAGTTCGTTGCGCTTAAGCAGGAGGGGATGTCACTGCCTGAACTTAGACAGAGGTCCGACTACTTGTCCCAGTACGCGACGAGTCTGGTCTCCACTCCGGAGGATCGTTTGAATGAGTTCGTCAAGAAGCTACGGCCGGACTTGAGGCCGTATGCCGCACTGATCACGACGACAGATTTTAATGCGGCGTACGATTTGATTGTGAAGACGGAGAAGAGCTTGGATGATTTGCAAGCAACCAAGAAGGAGGATCGAGCGACGAAAGACCCACGGCCAGCACCGGGCCGAGCGGGAAGAATTTGGATTCGGGGGAAAGAGGTACGAGAAGGGTTCTTCGAGTGCGCCACCGCCTAAGAGGAGTAAGTCGAGGCCGTCTCCGTCGGCCGCCGCTAGCAACTCGAATAGAACGAGGAGCCACCCGCAATGTGTACATTGTGGTAGGCATCACCCAGGCGAGTGTTGGCTCACCCAAGGCTTATGTTTGGGTTGTGGTCAGCCAGGGCATTTCAGGAGGCATTGCCCGACAAACCCTAGCAGCGAGCCTATTTTACCTAGAGCTCCGGATCAGCCTGCCGCATCACATCCAGCACGGAGTCAGCAGTCTACGGCCGCAAATAATCAGCAGAGACCACGTCCGCAGCAGTCAGGCCGGGCACCAGCGCGTACCTACGCCATGCATGGGCGCACAGATCCTGGTCCCGATGTTATCTTGGGTACGTTCATACTATTTGATTCGGTTATGCATGCCTTGATTGATCCGGGTTCCACGCTCTCCTATATCTGTGTTGGCATGCTTGCTAATTCTGCGATTGTGAGGAGTGACCTTGAGATACCTACCGTTGTATCGAATCCGCTAGGACATAGCATGCGTCTTCATCACATTTATCATAGATGTCCGTTGTCCGTGCAAGGGAAGCAATTCCCTGCAGATTTGATAGAGCTACCACACAAGGAGTTTGACATTATCCTTGGTATGGATTGGCTCACCGAGCAT